AAGCACGTCGCCGGGCAGTTTCCCAGCCGAGCGAAGGAGCACAGGTAGGCCACGATGTCGTGCAGCGGCGCCAACAGCTGCAGGGTGAGCCGCAAGGCTCGGAAGGCCGCCTGTGGACAAACCCGACACAAAGGAAACGTGTCTGAGGATGCGGAGAGGCAGATCAAATATATGAGTATTGGTTAGGGACAGGATCGCTAAAGAAATGTTTTCATGGTAAGGGCAGGATAATGTCCCCAGAAGGCCAAGGAGCCTGCTCATGAAACCAGATTCTCCTTGCACGTCTTCAGACAAGGTCCCTTCTGCAGGGACTTCATGGGGATGCTTCTCCCAGCTTAAGGCTCCCGGTGGCCACCAACAGGTCAAAATGTATTTGTGTGTGGCCCACAGTGAACTACAAGGCCCCCAAATCAATTGATAGCGGGGACACCCTGCCCAGATAGCACTGCCCAGAGAGTAAGATGCCTTAGCTGGTTCATCAATGGCGTAAGCCAACACACAGCCAAACACCAGACGCTGGGCTTTGAGTCTCAACACTGAAGCCAAGGGAAAGCAAGAGCCACAGTCTCATGGCAGCACGTGGTGCTTCCATATTTAAGGAACTAAAACAAAACAAAAACACCTGGAAACTGCCTAGTGAACGAAAGGATGAGGCTCTTAGGTGGGTACCCATACTCCCCACCCCACCCCCAAAAAGAAAAACCAGGATGCTTCCAAATTGTGATGGTCATCATCGCACTTCTATTCACCAGCCCCTTTGAGAGTTTCACGTGCTCGTCTGTCCATTCTTAGGAGGGTCACCAGTATCGCCCCAAAGTTAGGTCCAGACAATAGCCCCTCAAGAAGGCACCTGAGTGAATTGTGTGTGTGGTCCCAGCCTCCCATTGGCTCCGGGGTTTTAGGGAGAAGCTTTCTCCAGGGGGCTGAGAGGACACCGAGAATTAACAAGGAACGCCAGAAGCACAAATGGAGGCGGATAAGTGCCTGGAGAGAAAGAGGCTTCCCACGTCCAGGAGACCCACAAGAGAGGCAATAGGGAAGCAGGCAAACGTCCTCAGCAGGAGGAGAAGACTGCAGTTTGTAGATGTGACCAGGGACACACCACCAAACGGGAGTTGTCTGGAATGGAGAGGCTTAGCTGGGAGACAGGAGAACGAGAGCAGCCCATTTTTATTCAGACGCCCGATGCAAACAGCGCAAACCTTTTCTGGCAGCGTTTTGAACATGACCAGCACTTCCGAAGGATGTGGTATGAACCATAAATTGAGGAAGACTTTTCCGTCGGTAGACAGCAAGCCTCTCGGCCTGCGCTGGAAGCTCCTACAACGGGAAATAAAACCAGCGGTAGCTTCATTGCCCCCTGAACCAGAGGTG